TAAGGAAACTTATTTAGCCATAAGTGCATTTTTTTTGAAAAAAAGACTAAAAAAATATTTATTATTCCATTATTCTCTCGCTCTCTCCATTGCTCTCTCACTCTCTCTTCCCTATTTTTTCTCTATCTATTTATCTCTCTCTCTTCTCTCATATTGATAATTTATTTTTTTTAAATATGTAAAGATTTGATTTAATGTTTTCATCTCTCTCTCACTCTCTCTCCCCTTATTTTCTTATTCTCTCTCGTTTCCTCTCTCCTTATATCAACGTTACAATAACACAATTACACTAATAAGTTACATCAATTAGTTACAATTACCCTATAATACATCAAACAGTTACTCATATGTTATAACAAACTAAATAGTTATACTAAATAATTATACGAAATTACAAACACCAACCCAATTTATCATTCAGTTATTTACATAAATCAAAGAGTTGCACCATTTAGTATCATGTCATGGTTATACCAATTATATACATCAAATTGAGTTTATCATTACATAAAAGATTTTACCATTATACTAAATTTGGTATATATAATTGGTGTAACGATGTCGCGATACTAAGTAGTTCAACTATTTAGTTTATGTAAACAACTGAATGACAAATTGAGTTGGTGTTATAAATTTGTGTAATTGTTTGGTATAACTGTTTAGTTTATTAGAAAACATGAGTAACTGTTTGGTGTATTATAAAGTAATTGTAACTGATTAGTGTAATTGTGTTGTTTTAATTTAGATATAAATAAAGAGAGATAGAATAGAGAGAGAGAGAAACGATTAGAGAAAATAGGGTAGAGAAATGAAAAAATAAGTTAAATCTTTACATATTTAAAAAGAAAATAAATTATCAATGATAGATATAGAGAGAAAATAGGGAAGAGATGGGGAAAGTAACGGGGAGAGAGAAAGATAGAGAGAAAATAGGGGAGAGATAGTGTAATGAAATCTTTACATATTTAATTAAACATATAACTGTCAATCAATAATGCATAATTTAAGGAAGGACATTTAGGTAAAACAATTTTGATTTCATTTGAATTTGTACCTAAACATAATATCTATATAATAAAGTACAATACAATTCAAATTTTAAAAGATAAACAAAATGACTTTTATTATTTGCGATTAAAATCGCTTTAAATTTTACTTTAAAATTAATCTAACGGCTAATATTAACATCCTAAATTTAATAGAAAAAATAGATCTCTAAGANTGTGATTGAAATCGCTTTAAATTTTACTTTAAAATTAATCTAACGGCTAATATTAACATCCTAAATTTAATAGANTGTATGTTTATTTTAAAAAGGCGATAGACTGATAAATTACTCGTTCTTTTTGTGCCCTTCAAATTTTTATTACAAAAATGTTTANATAACTTTTTAAAGTATTAATAATTATTTCTCATAAGAATTTTTTTTTTAAAAAATTGTGTTTAAAACTGTTCCACCACTGTCTATACCAGCCCCACCCCCATTGCTCCACCACCATTACCATTACCACTACCACCACCGGCACTGGCACCACTGCCACCTCCACCATTGCTACAACCACAATCACTATCGCCACCCCTACCATACCCACCACCCCACCATCGTCGCTGCCACTACCTTACCACCACCATCACCACTTCCATTACCCCACCACCACCATAACCATTACCATCATCGCCCATCACTACCACCACCACCCCACCATCATCACTACTATTACTACCACCGTCCCACCACCACCACCGCCACTTCCACTGTCCCACCACCAACATCCCCAATCACCACCACTGTCGCACCTTACCACCACTGTTACTGTCTCACCATGACCCCTACCACACCACCCATCGCCCCACCACCACCCCCATGACTATCACAACTATCATCATCATCGCCAACCCACTATCGCCACTGCCCCACCTCCACCCCCACCCCACTCTCATTGCCCCACTACCATCGTCATCTTATTCTTATATTTATTACCATATTACAACCATCCTCCCATTACCACCGTCGCCCATCGTTAGCATCCACCACCACCCATCATTGCCCACCATCGCCACCAACCACTATCACCTACCCTACCACACCTACGACCACTTCTCATTGCCCATAATTGCAGCCACTATCACTTATCCTACCACACCTATCACCACCTCTCATCGCCCACAATTGCAGCCATCCACTGTCTTCTACCCCCACCACACTTACCACTGCCGCTATTCGTCACCACCCATCACATTGTCACCTAGAAACACCCATCGTAGCCCACCACCACCATCATCACTGCCCATCACCACCGTCATTGTCCCATCACCACAACTGCCAACCACTATCATCATCGTCCACCACCACCACCGTTGTCACCCACGACTGCCACTATCATCATCGTCACTCAAAACCCGCCACTACCATCATCGTCACTGATAACCCACCACCACCATCACCATTGCCACCTATGGCTACTACCACCACCCCGATAGTCGCCTTACCCACCACAACCATCACCGTCTTCCACTATTACCACTGTTGCCCACCACCATTACCACCGCTCACCCACGTTACAATCGGTACTTAATTTTTTTTATCTCTCATTTATATTTGTGATTTGATTTTAGGTGTGAATACGAATATGTTGACAATTTTTTTTTATTACTCCGTGCTTTCAGGCACGGAAAATAACTAGTGTTTTATTAAAATTGAACTTAATAGAATAAACAAATTATTCATACACTTTTCCTCAAAAAAGTCTAAAAAATTGTACATATAATAAAAAAACCCTCAAAAAAATAGNCACCATCATCACTACTATTACTACCACCGTCCCACCACCACCACCGCCACTTCCACTGTCCCACCACCAACATCCCCAATCACCACCACTGTCGCACCTTACCACCACTGTTACTGTCTCACCATGACCCCTACCACACCACCCATCGCCCCACCACCACCCCCATGACTATCACAACTATCATCATCATCGCCAACCCACTATCGCCACTGCCCCACCTCCACCCCCACCCCACTCTCATTGCCCCACTACCATCGTCATCTTATTCTTATATTTATTACCATATTACAACCATCCTCCCATTACCACCGTCGCCCATCGTTAGCATCCACCACCACCCATCATTGCCCACCATCGCCACCAACCACTATCACCTACCCTACCACACCTACGACCACTTCTCATTGCCCATAATTGCAGCCACTATCACTTATCCTACCACACCTATCACCACCTCTCATCGCCCACAATTGTAGCCATCCACTGTCTTCTACCCCCACCACACTTACCATTGCCGTTATTCGTCACCACCCATCACATTGTCACCTAGAAACACTCATCGTAGCCCACCACCACCATCATCACCACCCATCACCACCGTCATTGTCCCATCACCATCACTGCCAACCACTATCATCGTCGTCCACACCACCACCACCGTTGTCACCCACGACTGCCACTATCATCATCGTCACTCAAAACCCGCNTTACCACTGCCGCTATTCGTCACCACCCATCACATTGTCACCTAGAAACACCCATCGTAGCCCACCACCACCATCATCACTGCCCATCACCACCGTCATTGTCCCATCACCACAACTGCCAACCACTATCATCATCGTCCACCACCACCACCGTTGTCACCCACGACTGCCACTATCATCATCGTCACTCAAAACCCGCCACTACCATCATCGTCACTGATAACCCACCACCACCATCACCATTGCCACCTATGGCTACTACCACCACCCCGATAGTCGCCTTACCCACCACAACCATCACCGTCTTCCACTATTACCACTGTTGCCCACCACCATTACCACCGCTCACCCACGTTACAATCGGTACTTAATTTTTTTTATCTCTCATTTATATTTGTGATTTGATTTTAGGTGTGAATACAAATATGTTGACAATTTTTTTTTATTACTCCGTGCCTTCAGGCACGGAAAATAACTAGTGTTTTATTAAAATTGAACTTAATAGAATAAACAAATTATTCATACACTTTTCCTCAAAAAAGTCTAAAAAATTGTACATATAATAAAAAAACCCTCAAAAAAAATAGAAATGAGATGGGGACACATCCAAAAAGATATGGGCCGATAAGAAAATACCAATTAATTTGGCCCTTTTGATACAATCAATAGAGTGCCTGTTTGGTTCTAGTCCTTTGGCATGGCCAGTTTGGGAACGTAGCTAAAACTTACAAAGTAGAGTGGAGAATAATAATAATTAAAGTAATTACTTAGGTGTCAAAAAATTACACAAAACTTAAATTACAAAATATTAAGTTTTTGAGACCTTGGGCCCTTGCAACACGCCCAATATAGCTCCTCCGATCCTTATACATATAATATATTCAATGTAATGATAACACGACATTATTACCATTACGTGATATCATTGTTTAATAAAAAAATAACAAATAGACAAAGTATATCCCATTACCCTAATAATTACCCATAACCACCAGCTAGTTGGGGATAATCAACTACATGTATTGGATGAAAAGTGAGATTTATCCAATATTAGAATTTCATTAATTCAATAACTATATTGAATTAGATGTTTGATTAGATTCCTATAGCATTGTCGTGGAATAATGTCTTTTTCTTTCACCTGTCGCCCTTTAAAGCAATGGGGTCCTTTACTTCTTTTTCAAGGATGGCCTTGATGATCCATTAATGAGCTTTATCACTTATTGATGACTATTCTTGCCTACTTTAACGAAGTTAGGTTAAAAGTGGGGCTATTGGGTCCACAAGGTTGTCCAGATTGTCTAAGGTCTAACAATTAATTGATCGGTGATTCCATGAAGGCACCCTTGACAAATGAGTGCATACAATTGTTGAAGATTATCAATAGCATAATAGTGGATGAGGATTCATGTAATTGATTTTAAATAGTCGAGATTTAAAATTTTCAAAGGGAATGAAGTTGACTGAATATCGAAATTTTAAAAGAATGACAACTTAAAATCAACTTTAACGACCGTTTGTCAAGATTTTTTGTGCCCAACTTTGAAAAGAAAGGAGAAAAGAATGTTACAATAAAATACAAATAATGCGGTATTCAGTGTAAAAGACTCGACTCTTGTCTACATTGAGATCTAAAAAAGACAAATGATGGAGCCTGTTACTCTATTTTGGAGAGGTTGTTGATTCCCAAATCCGACACAAAACCTTTCAACAGATTACCACAAATTATGGGGTTTGTTTGTAAATCAAATCAAAGGACTTACCAAAAAGCAGACCGTAAAATTTTAAGTAAACATGCTGAATAATGGCACAAATAATCATAGGCCATACACACATAATATCTCAAGCTCATTTTCAGAACTAACACACACCATTGGTCTTCTTCCTGTCTGCAACAAACTTTCTCCAAGCTGTGGTTATCTCTCTTGTCACTTCAATATCACTTTTCTTCCCAATCGCTACACTATTCTCTTCGCTAGCTGCAATCTTGGCACTGATCCTGGTCGGGAGCGTATCGAGCTCGTGGAGAACCTTTTCTATATCAATAACAAGGCGCTCGGCCAGAGTCCTCGAGAAGTCTTCCCTTATCACCACCCTGAGCACAGTCACGTGCTGTGCATCAGGTGGCATGGTGTATGCTGGCACAATCCAACCGTAGCGTCGGAGCATGTCCGACACTTCAAACTCGGTGTGCTTGCTGTTGTCCTTTAGAGAGAAGGCCACCAGTGGAACTCCGTTGTCTTTGGACACAATGTTGAAGCGTCCTGTCTTCTCCAAACCTTCTTTGAGTACCATTGCATTTTCTTGACAGTTTTCCATAATATTCTTGTATCCCTGATGAACAGAAATTGTAGGGTTACAGGAAACTGAGTGTGAATCATCAGAATTTTGACCATCAAACTAAAAGATAAGGCTATAGTACCAAAAAATTTTGTTTTGATACTATTCGGTAATTTACCATTATTAAGGGTCAAGTTCGACTTGTAAAATAGAAGTTATGATTATTCTTGATCGATCATGATTCACCTCGCTGCGTTCTAACTTTTCCTTTGTAAGTGATCCTTAAACTTGTATTTTTTAAGATCGATCACAATATTTTATTATCGATTATAATTTTTGACTCCTTTGAGATAATTTGATCATCACATATTTTAACTTTGTGGTACCGTAATCGTTCCAAGCAACCTGTTCTTCACTCACCTCATGACCCAAGCGAATAAGTTGATAGTACTGAGCAATTATTTGACTTGAACCTGCAAGTTAACAACCAGAATGGGAACTATATGTAAGTTATAAATTTATACCAAATTGGCAGAATGCCTTTCATTGTAAAATCAAATATGAATTACACAAACACATAATAACGTCACAATTATGGATGTCAAACGTGTTGAGATTGTCGAGTTAAGTATACTTAGATTTGGTTTAGTTATGATTGACTAAACTCGACTGTCAAACTTAGATTCTTACTCGAGCTTGACTAGATAGAACCTTGCAAGTATTTTTGAACTCGGTCGAACAAAAATCAGANTCGAGTTAAGTATACTTAGATTTGGTTTAGTTATGATTGACTAAACTCGACTGTCAAACTTAGATTGTTACTCAAGCTTGACTAGATAGAACCTTGCAAGTATTTTTGAACTCGGTCGAACAAAAATCAGACTCAATTTCTAGGAAAATTTTGCTGAAATTATAACCAAAAACTAAATAACTAATCCCAAATATTCAAGATAATTTATATAATCGATCATAATATTAAATCCTAAAAATTTAAATTTTCCAAAAACCTATAACACTAAGAAATGCAAAAAGAAGTGAATATGGTTTGAAGCTATTTGGGGATAAGTTTTTGGGTTTATTCACCCTTCGGATAGGTGTTGTGTGGTTGATTAAATTTGAATTATTTATAAAAAAGAACCTATTCAAGCCAAGTCATTCGTCCCGTTTACAAAACTAGCTTACATATCTGATCAAATTTAGTTCATTTTGAGATACGGATGAATTCAAACGAGTTAAAACCAACACGAGTTCCAATCAATCTTGGACTAATATACTTTAAACAGCCCTAAATGGTATTAATGTGATGAAAGTAGATTTAGTAAATTACCCTTAGAGAAGTTGAGGGTGAAAGTGGGTTGATCAGCTCCAAGATAGTTGATGTGAAAGATGAGCTCGTCAGGCAAGTCCGCTTTGCTCCTCCAAATGACCCAACCTATACCAGCATACACAAGTCCATACTTGTGGCCACTGACGTTGATACTCTTTACCAATGGCAATCTGAAATCCCAATCCAGTTCTGGGTAAAGAAAAGGTGCAATGAAGCCACCACTTGCTGCATCCACATGAATTGGTGTATCCCATCTACCAAAATGGTAACCAAAAGAAACAATTCAATAGATTGAGCAATAAAATGAAGCTTATGCGAACATATATACATTTTGGAGGTTTCGAATCGTCTTGTGTCATTTTCAAATTGTGTTACTTGGAATTTGTACCGAACATTATTCAATCTTAATTCTACTTATTTCGTGTTAAAAGTCATGATACTAGTCTAACCTTTTTATTAATCGCGACATGTGAGCCAAAAATCTGAAATTTTGACTCATTCATGTCTCAACCAAATTCACCACTCATAGTTCCCTATCAATAAAAAAGCCACTTGATCTTTATGTTGGTGAAACCCAAAAAAAAATCCCTTAATTTTAGTGAATTCAATTCATACAACATTTGATCAAAACATTAGGAAGTCAAATATTTTATACATATATTGCAAATTTGTCTGGTTTGTTGTGGAAACATTAGATTATTCATATTTGACTCAAACCCGGTCTATTTTTTATTCGTTTTAGCTTATCGTTCCATTTTTAAACTTATGTTAAAAACTAGTCAATCCTAAGTCATTAATTTTGTACCTTGTTTGTGCTGTGTCTGAAGTTGCTACATGTATACTCGTGAATTTGCATGTGATAGTGCTAGCCCAGGCACCATGACAAATTAATTTGTTGAATTTGTCGTGGCAATATCAGATTATTCATGTGTTTAACAAAAATTCTACTTATTTATTATTCATATTAGCATATGTTGGCGTGAGTTGTCCTCCGCAAGATTATAGGAGGAAGTTTTGGGATACACTATCAATTTAATTAATTAAGTCGTGATACATGTATAGCCAAATTTAGATGTTTACGTTCTGTTATATATCCACTCATTCTTGAAAAGAAAGTATTGAAAATAAGAGATTTTTTTTATACTGTTTTTTGTCGTGGTATCAGAGCCACCGATCCTCCTGTCAATTTCTTAACCCATTTCGTCTCCCTCCATGGCTGACACCGATTCCCATACTGATGAATCTCTGTCTTCCTCCATCCTAGCTGAGTTGACAACAAAAATGACTAAAGTATTCAGCAAAGCTTCAGCCCCAACCCAAACCTCTAATAGTGCTACTGCACCGATCGGCATCAAGTTGGATGGCACCAACTATGCTCTTTGGTCCCAGGTGGTCAAGATGTATATCTCAGGCAAAGACAAATTGGGATACATAAACGGCGATCTACCTCAACCTCCTCAGACAGATCCTACCTTTCGACGATGGCGCACCGACAACGCTATTGTTAAGGGCTGGTTGATTAATTCCATGGATTCCTCTCTTATCGATAACTTCATTCGCTTCCCGACAGCCAAGCAGGTGTGGGCTGCAATTGCGACTACATATTTTGATGGCAGCGACACCTCCCAGGTGTATGACCTCCGGCGACGCGTGACCTGCCTTAAACAGGCTAGCAGCTCTCTCGAAAAATTCTACAATGATCTCCAAGGCCTCTGGCGTGAAATCGACTTCTGTCGTCCAAACCCGATGGAATGCCCAACTGATATTCAACATTACAATTCCCTCGTTCAAGAAGATTGGGTATATGTATTCTTGGATGGTCTTGATGACCGCTTAGACCATATCCGGAGTAATGTCCTGCAGATAAAGCCATTCCCAACAGTGGAGCTAGCCTATGCACACGTCTGGAGGGAAGCTCTTCGCCAAGCGATGATGACGACGAGTAGCCCCGATGATATACCAGGAGTAGGTCTGGCGTCCAAGAGTCTCAAACATGGCTCGCAGTCTCTCTCTTTGCATGGTGGTAAATCCAGCTCCAACTCTAAGTCCCGAGCCACCTCTGATGGCACTAAATGCTCTCATTGTGGGGGTGCAAAGCATACTCGTGTGCTTCAAGCTTCACGGTTATCCCGATTGGTGGCACGAACTCCAGGCTCGGAAGCGCCGTGAAGGTGGTGGGAATGATGATAGCACCAGCCAGGCTGCGGTGGCTACCGCAGAACCACATCTGTCATTTATTCCCGCCGCTAGCTCCAACTCTACCCCAGGTAATGCTCTACTTGGTTCTAATCGGGAGGCTAACTCCAATGCTTGGATACTTGATTCCGGAGCAACGGACCATATGACATTTGATGCCGTTGATTTTTCTCAACACTCCCCTCCTCGACAAACTAGCATTACCAATGTTAATGGAGGCATTTCTTCGGTAACAGGGGTTGGGACTGTGATGTTGTCACCAGCCCTACCCTTATCTCATACTTTACTCGTGCCTTCTCTGTCTCACAAGTTACTATCCGTGAGTCAAGTTATTAAAGACTTGAATTGTGTTGTGCTAATTTATCCTGCGTTTTGTCTTAATCAGGATATTCTCACCAAGGAGATCATTGGGCATGGTACTAAGAGGGGGGCTTTATTATATGGAAGATTTTAGCGTTGGCCATGCACACCATGCATCGCTCAAGCGACCTCAAAGTGGAACAAATTTTGCTTTGGCACCATCGGTTATGCCATCTGTCTTTTGGTTATCTGCAGCATGTGTTTCCTAATTTATTTTCGGGTTTGTCAATTTTGGATTTTAAATGTGAGACTTGCATTTTAGCTAAAAGTCATTGAGTNGCTCTATTATATGGAAGATTTTAGCGTTGGCCATGCACACCATGCATCGCTCAAGTGACCTCAAAGTGGAACAAATTTTGCTTTGGCACCATCGGTTATGCCATCTGTCTTTTGGTTATCTGCAACATGTGTTTCCTAATTTATTTTCGGATTTGTCAATTTTGGATTTTAAATGTGAGACTTGCATTTTAGCTAAAAGTCATTGAGTTACTTATCTATTGAGTATGAATAAGAGCGATAATCCTTTTGCCTTGATTCACTCTGATGTTTGGGGTCCTTCCCCAAAGCCTACTCTGTCTGGTGTCCGCTGGTTTGTGATATTTGTTGATGATTGTACTCGAATAACTTGGATTTATCTGTTGAAACATAAAAATGAGGTTTTTCATGTATTTCAATCATTTCATACAAATGATTCAAACTCAGTTCTCACCTAAGCTCCAAACTCTTCGATCGGATAATGGTAGGGAGTATGTAAATCAACAATTCCATGATTATTTCCACCACCATGGACTAATTCATGAGACCTCATGTCCCAAGACTCTGTATCAAAAAGGTATTGCAGAGCGCAAGAATCGCCACATCCTCGAAACTGCTCGTGCTCAGTTACTTGGAGCTCACGTACCTAGCCACCACTGAGCTAATGCTGTTGCCATGGCTGTCCATCTCATTAACCGCATGCCCTCAAAAGTTCTTGGGTTCAAGACTCCACTACAGGCCTTGTCAACCTATGTGTCATTACCTACAGTATTGATGCTTCCACCTCGGGTCTTTGGTTGTGTTGCATTTGTTCACCTCCACAAGAACTAACGCACGAAGCTTGATCCCTGTGCCATTCGTTGTCTCTTTTTGGGATACGCTACACACCAAAAAGGGTACCGATGCTACGACCCAACTACTAGGCACACCTATGTGACTATGGATGTCACGTTCCTTGAATCCGACACTTTCTACTCTCCTGCCGCATCCAATTCTTCTCTTCAGGGGGAGACACAAGTAGAAGAGATGAATTGGTTGACATTTGAGTAGTTCAAGGACCCTGATATGACACCTAATGCTTCTCAGTCTATCATTGAGGAACCTAATCTAGAGCCAACATCTCCAGAAGTTGAAGTAGCAGTACCCCCTCTCTCTTCAGTATCCAATGACCAGTCTCCTGAGAATATCATTGAGGTAAGCTCCCATATCACACTTCACATTTCTAATAATGTGGATACTCCTGTTGGCTACGAGTTACCCTTCAGGCACAATCGAGGCAAACCACCGAACAGGTACTCTCCGAAACTAGAGGACCAAAGGTCGAGGTATCCAATGACCAATTATGTTTCTATAAAGGAGTTGTCCAAACCCCTCAAGAACTTTGTGAATGAACTCTCCTCACATCATATTCCCACAAGTGTTGACGAGGCTCTGGAAGGCCCTAGGTGGATCCAAGCTACGAAGGAAGAAATGGAGGCATAACTGAAATTGAGATGCAGACTCTTGTTCCCCTACCGGAAGGGAAAAAAACAATAGGGTGTAAGTGGGTATTCTCCATCAAGTACAAAGCCGATGCATTAGTTGAAAGGTAGAAAGCAAGACTGGTGGCAAAGGGCTATACGCAAACCTATGGCATAGACTATCAAGAAACATTCTCACCTGTGGCCAAGTTGAGTACTGTCAGGATTCTACTATCTCTTGCAGCAAACCTTGATTGGCCATTGCACCAGTTTGATGTTAAAAACGCTTTTCTCCATAGAGATCTTGAAGAAGAAATCTACATGGATGTCCTTCTAGGATATATGGCAAACTCTGAGGCTAAGATTGTGTGCAAACTACAACAAACCTTGTACGACTTGAAACAATCTCCTAGAGCGTGGTTTGGACGCTTGAACTTGGCAATGAGGAAATATGGTTTTCAACAAAGCAACTCAGATAATACGTTATTCTTAAAGCATCAAGGGGGGTAAGATAACAGTTTTGATAGTCTATGTAGACGATATGATCATTATAGGAAACAACCCAGAGGAAATAACAAGACTACAAGATCAATTGGCCACAAAATTTGAGATGAAAAATCTAGGAGGACTCAAATATTTTATGGGAATTGAAGTTGCTAGGTCAAAGCAAGGCTTATTCCTTTCCCAATGAAAATATATCCTAGATTTATTGTCAGAAGTTGGATTACTGGATTGTAAGCCTGCAGATACACCAATAATCCAAAATCACAAGCTTGGAGAATACCCAAACCAAGTGCCAACAGACAAAGGAAGGTACCAGAGATTAGTTGAAAAACTTATTTATCTCTCTCATACACGGCCTGACATCGCCTATGCAGTGAGTGTAGTAAGTCAATTCATACACTGTCCAAGTGAAGATCATATGAATGTGGTGATTCGAATTCTCCGATACCTAAAGTCCTCCCTCGAAAAAGGACTTATGTTTACGAGAAACAATCACCTACGGGTGGAAGGTTACATAGATGCTGACTGGGCAGGAAATATCACCGATAGAAAATCCACCTTAGGTTATTTCACGTTTGTTTGAGGGAACCTGGTTACATGGAGAAGTAAGAAGCAAAACGTAGTAGCATTATCAAGTGCTGAAGCTGAGTTTCGTGGGATGGCTAAGGGCCTTTGTGAACTTCTTTGGCTTCGAAGACTATTAACCGAAATTGACTTTGCTCCTAGATGCGAGATAGACCTATTCTGTGATAACAAGACTGCAATTGACATTTCTCATAATCCAGTCCAGCATGATCAGACCAAACATGTGGAAGTAGACCAGCACTTCATCAAACAAAATCTTGAGGCCAAGATAATACGATTCCCATTTGTCAAATCTGAAGACCAGTTGGAAGACATACTTACAAAAGTTGTATGTAGCAGAAGCTTTTCTACAACTCAATTGGCAAGTTGGGCATCCGAGATCTATATGCACCAACTTGAAGGGGAGTGTTGGCGTGAGTTGTCCTCCGCAAGATTATAGGAGGAAATTTTGGGATACACTATCAATTTAGTTAATTAAGCCATGATACATGTATAGCCAAATTTAGATGTTTACGTTCTATTATATATCCATTCAATTCTTGTAAAGAAAGTATTGAAAATAAGACATTTTTTTTATACTGTTTTTTTTCAGCATATTGCATCATTTAAAAACTATTTAACTCTTTAACTTGTTAATTTTGTACTACTGTATTTGTATTTGTACACTGGAGGGAGAGGGCTTACCCAGTTTGCTTGTTCTTCTCGATCAAGAGGTCGTTCAAGCGCTTAACATCTTCAAACTCTCCATTAAGGGTGGAGCCCAAGATAGCAGCCACACAGATTGTGTTCTCATCCACCATCTCCACAGCTTTATCAGGGTCCATCACATAGTAACCATCTCTCAGTTTCACCTCCTTCAACTCCACCTCAAAATACCTAGCAAATTTCTCCCAGCATACCTGCATGTATATGAAAGTGTTTGTTTTAAGATACCTTATCATGAAAATCATACTCTCTTAGGCATCATTTTGGTTCGGGTATCATGGGATGGGATTGGGCTAAATTAGTCTAGCGATAACTTAATATCATATTTGCATAATATTAATATTGGCCCTACACTACGGTACAACTCAATCCGAAACCCACTTTGACATGGGCCAACCATAAACCCTATGGACTGGGTTTTGTTGTTTTTTTTTTTTTTTG